AAATTGAGAGCAATATGCAGTCTATTTTATTTTCATTCCATTGAAGATTCCTGGAAAGAATTATTGAGGGCTACTGATTGTTACAATTTCTGTGTGTGCGAGACACTGATCTCAGCATAAAGGGAAATAACCGTATAAAACCTTTTATAAATATTAAAAGTGTTACTAAACCTACAACAGTAAATTCAGTCTGTATATGCATTTTTGTTATACTCACTGTAAAACCTAAGGGGTTAACCTTCTGCATTGTGTAGACGGTTTGATCCTTTCTTCTCTGATCCTTCCCTTTTTCAAGCGACCACCTCTCTTATCTCCCGACTGAACCGTAGGCATGCATATGCTCAGTTTGGTGTATATTGCTAGAGAGGTTTTTTTTTTTATCTTGGGAGAGTGCATGTGATCAGCACAGGGCCAATCAGCAATGTCCAGACAGAGGTCAGGGGAATTTCATCCTCTTAGAGCAGAAAGAAAACTCCTCCTATAAGCTTTAGCTAATGGTGGGCTGGACACTGATAGAAGTCACAAGACTGCTCTAAGTGCTGAGTAGAAAAGGTATTTAGCAGTTTATATTTACTAAAATAATTGCACTTCCATGTTCTGTGTACTGTGAGAGACCAGATATGGTGAATACAGTGTCCTGGGTTTAGTAACACTTTAAGTTCCACTGTTTAAGGTGACTGTGTGATTGGGGATCCTTATAGCTGCACTGAAATAATCTATACATTAATTCAAGAACTTTATTGTTGAAGATCATGGAAGAATGGATGTACATCATATTTAATGAACTTTTGAGAAATGTCAAGCACACTTGCAGACAGTATATAAAATAAATAGTATAATTATGTATGTATGACGCTTTGGCACGTTCCTGTGATTTATTTATTTTATAAATCTTTAATATACACTGGTCTTCGTTTATTTACTATATATGTATTAAGGAGCAATTTGGAATTATTTGCTCATTTTTTTTTATAGTGTGGCACATTTGTTCATTATTTGTTTTGGATGAAATCATTTCATTTTGGTGCTAGCAGCTTGTTAGTTAGATGTCAGGTGTGTATTGGTGCTGCTCATTTTACTTCAGTTTTGCAAATGGAAAATATAATGCCTTTTGGTTACTTTTATATTATTTTTGTAACTTATGTATAGAGTCTTTGTTTTATTAATGAACATTTAATACACATCAAAGATATCCTAGTTATCTAAAGACATTACACAAAAATTTGCCTTATTTGAAGCATCCAATGACAGCAACTCGTAGATGTCGGATGAGGGATGATAATTCTCCCAGTTCATTCACTTATGCAATTTATAGCTTGAGCTATTGGAGTCTGTACAGGAAATAGTTTTTCCCAACAAAGGCGATACTGGAAAATATACTGCTGTTCCATTTGCAGGTTCAAGATAATAATGCAAAATATGAATAGAACACTACATTATTATTATTATACAGGATTTATATTGCGGCAACAGTTTGTGCAGTGCTTTACAATATAAGGGAGACAGTACTGTTACAATACATTTCAGTTCAGAAGGAATATGAGGGCACTACATAATATTTATTACTCAGCATGTCCAATAATGCATTTTTATCTGACTAAAAAACAATAGTTTAACACTTATTTTTGTAGTATTGACCATCACTATAAGCAATAAACAATAATAAAACTATACATTTGCTTTAAATCTATGCCACTTACAGTATTTGCTTGCTCCCGATGTTTCAGAATGAATTACACATTAAAGGGAAGAGTTTTTATTTTCCTGATTCAGACCTACATCATTATATGCTAAAGAAAGGACTTGCCACATAATAGCTGTTTTTTTCTACTTATAACATAAATGACTTCTAAAGAGATGTGGATCTATTAACCATTTTTCACAGAAATTCAATTAAGCAATTTACGAGGACAGTTTTAATGCAAATAGAGTTTACAGGAGTCCTCCTTAGATAGTTTCTACTCATACTGATCTGAGTGTGACCTCTACAGGGATATTAGAAGCTTGACTAAGATGTCCAGCATTGAAGATTGTAAAATTACTATCTCAACAACTGTCTGTCAATATGAAATCCAGGCACTGAGATGATTCACCTCCAAGTTTTACTGCAGCTCTGATTCACATAACTCACATAAGGTAGGAATGATGGAACTGTAAACTTGAGTCAAGGACAGACATGTAAACATGCTAAGTAATGAACCCTACTCCACTTGAAAATGTTCCATTGTGTTTTTCTATATACACCGCTCAAAAAAAAAAATTAAAGGAAAACTTTGAAAACACATCAGATCTCAATGGGGAAAAATATCATGCTCATTATCTATACTGATATGGACTGGGTAATGTGTTAGGAATGTAAGGATGCCCCATCATTTGATGGAAATGAAAATCACCCTACAGCGGACTGAATTCAAAGACACCCCGAAAATCAAAGTAAAAAATGATTCAGCAGGCTAGTGCATTTTGCTGAAATTGCATTGCAGCAGCTCAAAATGGTACTCAGTAGTTTATATGGCCCCCACGTGCTTGTATGCATGACTGACAACATCGGGGCATGCTCCTAATAAGATGAGGGATGGTGTCCTGGGGTATTTCCTCAAAGATCTGGACCAGGGCATCACTGAGCTCCTGGAAAGTCTGAGGTGCAACCTGGCTTTGTCGGATGGACCGAAACCGCATCCCAGAAGTGTTCTATTGGATTTGGTTCAGGTGAGCATTGGGGCCATTCAATGGTATCAATTTCTTCATCCTCCAAGAACTGCCTACATACTCTCGCTACATGAGGCCGACATTGTCATGCACTCAGAGGAACCCAGTACCCACTGCACGAGCAAGGGGTCTGAATGGGACCAAGGATTTCATCCCGATACCCAATTGTAGTCAGGGTGCCATTGTCTAGCCTGTAGAAGTCTGTATGTCCCTCCATGGATAGGCCTCCCAAGACCATCACTGACCCACCACTAAAAAAGGATGTTACAGACAGCATAACATTCTCCACAGCTTCTCCAGACCCTCTCACGTCTGTCACGTGCTCAGAGTGAACCTGCTCTCATCTGTAAAAAGCACAGGACACCAGTAGCGGACCTGCCAATTCTGGTGTTCAATAGCAAATGCCAATCGAGCTCTATGGTGCCGGGCAGTGAGCACAGGGCCCACTAGAGGGCGTTGGGCCCCCAGGCCACCCTTATAAAGTCTGTTTCTGATTGTTCGGTCAGAGACATTTACACCAGTGGCCTGCTGGAGGTCATTTTGTAAGACTCTGGCAGTGCTCATCCTGTTCCTCCTTGCACAAAGGAGCAGATACTGATTCTGCTGCTGATGGGGTAAGGACCTTCTATGGCCCTGTCCAGCTCTCCTAGAGTAACTGCCTTTCTGCTGGAATATTCTCCATGCTCTTGAGACTGTGTTGGGAGACACAGCAAACCTTCTGGCAATGGCACGTATTGATGTTCCATCCTGGAGGAGCTGGACTGCCTGTGTAACCTCTGCAGTGTCTAGGTATTGCCTCATGCTAGTAGCAGTGACACTGACCCCAGCCAAATGCAAAATTAGTGAAAAACAGTCAGAAAAGATGAGTAGGGACAAAAATGTCAGTGACCTCCACCTGTAAAACCATTCCTGTTTTTGGGGACGTCTCATTGTTGCCCATCTAGTGCACCTTTTGCTAATTTCATTAACACCAAAGCAGCTGAAACTGATTAACAACCTCCTCTGCTACTTAACTGACCAGATCAATATCCCAGGAGTTTAATTTACTTGATGCTATACGCTGATTAAAAAGTGTTCCTTTAATTTTTTTTGAGCATTGTATAATCCAGCGAGTCTGCTCACGCAGACAGCAGCTTGTTACACAGTTCACAGCAGAAACATTTTTTTACTTCTTTCGCAGGCACCCCACCTGCACACAATGCTTATTGCCTGGCTGCACTTACACAGACTCACTTGAATCCAGGTCCTTGCTCTATAGTGAGTTTGAATCTCAGGAACGGTTTGTTCCTGAGATTCAAACTCACTATAGAGCAAGGACCTGGATTCTACCGCCTTCTGCCTGCATACTCCACCACTTGTAACATTTTGGGATGTTTAGCTCAGTGGTAGATGCATTTTCAAGTGAGTACACGCCAGTCAGGAACTACTTTTCAGGGCTTGGTAGCCCACTTTTATTAAAAGGAAAAAAAAAGGAAAGTCCAAAACACAATGTTTCCCACGCAGGGGTTCTTCTCCAGCAAAATATGCACAATCCAAATGAAAATGCTAGCCACCTGGCTACTCATCAGCAGCCCTGCTGATATAGATACTGGTCCCTCTGACCACCAGCTCTTCCTGGCACACAGCTTAGAGCTTCTCGGACAAAACACAGCTCCTCTGGCCCAGTCCTCAGGCCATTAATTGTCTCTTGCAGACATTCATACTCCACACAGAAGCCCTGAGGTATTCCTAAACCTCCACTAGAAGGATGGGCACACACCTGCTGTTGCTCCACAAAACCTGGACACTGGGTTGGAGATTCTGTCCCGACCAAGGCACTATGTAATCTACAATCTAGGGAGCCCCATCCAGGGCAACCAAAACCTGGAGAAAGCTGCAAAAGCAGTTTTTTTTCCATTCAGAACATCTGCTCTCTAGTCCTGCACTCAGTAAAAAGTGCAAGCCCTGTGTCCTTTTGCTGACCACTTACATAGTGACAGAACCTTGTACTGTCACATACCCCCTCCCCCCTGTTTTTACTCAGCAGGGGGCAGAACACAGCAGCCTGAATTCTTGATTAGGGCACCTCTGCACCAGCTGTCAGCCACATAGGTGCAATCTTTTTTTTCGGGTGCGTTTCCAGGCACGCCCTAGCCTGAATCTCAGCAGTGTTCTACTTTTTACTATCCTTGGACCTGCCGTGGGGTTCCTGGGCTTAACAGTCTTTTTGCAAGGTGCCTTTTCTAACACCTCTCCCCAACTCCCTGTCCTGAAGGTGTAGGGTGGCACTGCCTAATGAAGAAGTACTTTTTCCCTCATTTACACCAGTTTGAACCAACACACTTAGTATAAGGGATTTCCGGCAAGATGAACCGCGATCGGAAATGCGCGATCACGCACACGCACGTGCTCACGCATGGCGAAGACGGCCTATTTAACTAGCTGCCGACTGCAGATAGCAGAATGACGGCTGCACTGCGGCCGGCCAGTTCTGAGTGGACGTCATATGACGTCCTCCCAGAACGCGCTCCCCTGCGCGCCCCAGGGGGCGCGCACCCGGCGATCTCCGTGATCGATGTGTCCTAAGGACACAGCTGATCACGTGATGTGGTAAAAGGCCAATCACAGCGGCCTTTTACCAAGTGATCAGCGGTGTCCAATGACACGCTGATCAGAGGGAAATGCAAGTGCCGGTTCTCGGCTGCACTTTCCTCACGCTGTCAGATCGTGAGGCAGTTCTCGGCAGTTGTCAGAGCGGGGATCGGCACTGATGATCAGTGCCCTGATGATCGGTGCCCAGCAGTGCCACCCGCAAGTTCCGCCCACCTGTGCCCAGCAGTGCGCCCACTTGCTCCGCCCACCTGTGCCCAGCAGATCACCCACCTGTGCTCAGCAGTGCACCCACCTGTGCCCAGCAGTGCACCCACCTGTGCCACTCTGCAGTGCCACCTACCTGTGCCCAGAAGTGCCACCCACCTGTGCCCACCAGTGCCACCCACCTGTGCCCACCCACCAGTGCTGCCCAGCAGTGCTGCCACTCAGTGCCACCAGTCAGTGCCCAGGGGTTGTGCCAGTCAGTGCCGCCGGTCAGTGCCCAGCAGTGATGCCAGTCAGTGCCGTCTATCAGTACCCATCATCAGTGTCACCTATCAGTGCCGCCTATCAGTGCTGCATATTAGTGCCGCCTATCCGTGACACCTCATTAGTGCTGTCTATCAGTGCCGCCTATTCGTGCCACCTCATTAGTACTGCCTATCAGTGCCCTTTAGTGCTGCCTATCAGTGCCCATCAGTGCCGCCTATCAGTGCCGCCTCATCAACGCACATCAGTGAAGGAGAAAAAATACCTGTTTGAAAAATTTTATAATAGAAAACAAAGAAACTTTTTTTTTTTTTTTTTTTTTCAAATTTTTTACACTTTTTTTTTATTTTTAGCGCAAAAAGTAAAGTGCCCAGTGGCGATTAAATACCACCAAAAGAAAGCTCTATTTGTGAGAAAAAAATGATCAAAATTTCATATGGGTACAATGTTGCATGACCGCGCAATTGTCAAAGTGCGGCAGCGCTGAAAGCTGAAAATTGGCCTGGTAAATAAGGGGGTATAAGTGCCTGGTAGGCAAGTGGTTAAGGAGCGTCTCTGTTCATGTTCAGTGCTGACTGGTCTTCAGATTCCCCCTGTGTCCTGCTTGTTCCTGTATGATTCCTTTGTTGCTGACCCGGCTTGTTCCTCACCTGACTCTGATTGCTCTCCTGATACTGGTTCCTGTCTTCGGCTCTGCTCCTGACCTTGGCTTTTCCTCCTGATTCTGTACCGCGCTGCCTGACTGTTGATGACCCTAGCTTTTCCATGACACTGCTCCTGTCTCTTGTCCTCACTACCTACCTTGCTCTGCTGCACGCCTGGCAATCTACCAAACCTGCTCTGCCTGCTACTCCTGTGCCAAAATCAGAGGATCTTCAGCCTTCCAAGGTATTCATCTGCAAGAGCTGCACACAACAACTACTGGCCCTCTTGTTCCCCTGGGTCCTAGACTCCCTCTGTTTCAACCTCAGAGGGGTCAGGGCTAGTGACACAAGTGAGGCCGACCTCGTCAATTCAGTCTCCCATCAGGTACGTGACAGTACCAGTCAGCCAATGATGGAGTCTGAAAGGGAGGCCTCGCAACTGGGGGACATTCAATCCCAATCCGTATACGACCTACAAAAAAAAACTTTGAGCACCTGGAGAGTAAGATGCGAACCGACTCTAATGTCTTCACAGACACAGTTCTCACGGTAACCTTTGATGCAGCCACTCAGAGACCAGTATGATCCTTGAAACCTCGGTCCTACCAGAACTCCGGGTGCCTACGCCTGAGTTCTTTACAGGAGATCGCCGGAAGTTCAGGACCTTTCGTAGCGCCTCTGAGTTATACTTTTCCCTGCTCCCCAGGACCTTCTCTTCACCAAATACTAAAGTGGGGTTTATCATCACACTTCTCCGAAATGAACCTCAGTCCTGGGCATATCATCGCTGTGAACAACATGATCCAGCCCTAACTTCAGTGGACTCATTTTTTTTCATCAATGGCACAAATCTATGCTGATCCCTTCCGGCGCCAAGCCGCGGAATCTATGCTCAGTAAGCTACAGCAAGGCCAAAGGCCTTTGGAAGAATATGTTACTGATTTTCATATCTGGAGTTCTGATAAGCAGCGGAATGAGTCTGCTCTCCGCTATCACTTCTGTCTTGGTCTTTCTGATACCCTGAAGGATGCGCTGGCCCAAGTGGGGGTACCAACCAGATTGGAGAGTCTGATAGACCTGACGATCCATATTGACCGTCGAATTCAGGAAAGACAGAATAAGAGGACTAATGGGAAGATTCTGATATGCTCTGAAATTGGGCCCTCTACAAATGTTGGCTCATCAGAATCGCCCACCAATCCAGCTAGGAGGAGCTTTTGGAGACTGCAGTTATCCGCAGAATGCCTCCGACGACAGAAGTCCAACCTCTGCCTCTACTGTGGTGATGCAGGTCATTTTGTGGCGACCTGCCTGATAAAACCTCACAAACCCTCTCCCAACTGTTTTTACATGGTGCACCCTCAAGGAACAAGCCGGACGCACCTCTCTTTTCATCTGCAACTACAACTGGCCAAAAGGACAATCATGACAATCATGTTCCCGGCCATCATAGACTCGGGTGCTTGTAGCTGTTTTATGGATGCTCGATTCACTACTCAGAATCAGATTCCACTCCGTACTAAAGCACAAAGGCTTGCAGTTCATCTGGCAGGTGGGTCTGGTATCAGTTCTGGCCCTGTAACACAAAAACTATGCCAATATTCTGCTACTCTCCTTCAGGACACCAAGAATTCCTATGTCTGGATATTATTACCTCCCTGATTTTTCCAGTTATTCTCGGCATGCCTTGGCTAAGAGCACACAATCCAACCATCAATTGGTTGTCTGGAGAAATCTCCTTCCCTTCTGAATATTGTCTGACTCACTGTACTCCAAAAGAGACAAGTGTGACAACTTCTCTTCTCAGTATCCACTCTGATCCTGAGACCATGAAACTCGTTCCTGTGGCATATCACGAGTATCTGGACGTATTCAATAAAAAGCCTTTTTCCTCATTGCCCCTATGACTGTCCAATTGAGTTCCTGCCGGCGCCGAAATTCCTTTTGGTAGAATTTACCCCTTATCCGAAGTCGAATTAGAGGTCCTCCGGGAGTATATAGACGAAAGTCTGGAAAGAGGGTTTATTCGGCCTTCTACATCACCAGCAGGAGCCGGCATCTTCTTTGTGGAGAAAAAGGATTGCACTCTAAGACCTTGTGTAGACTACCATGATCTAAACAAAATAGCGGCCAAGAACCATTACCCCCTTCCTCTGATCCCCAAATTATTTCAAAGGCTGCGAGGAGCACTTTTTTTCTCAAAATTGGACCTGAGGGGTGCTTACAACCTAGTGAGAATTCGGGAGGGTGACGAATGGAAAACGGCCTTTCGAACCTGATTTGGGCATTTTGAATATCTGGTAATGCCCTTTGGTCTCTGTAACGCCCCAGCAACCTTCCAACACCTGGTAAATGATATATTTCGGGACTATCTGGATCTGTTTCTAATCGGACGACATCCTGGTTTTCTCCTGTTCCATAGAAAGTTATCGGGATCACGTAAAAAAAGACTCTAGATAGACTACGCCAGCACCACTTCTATGCAAAGGCAGAGAAATGCGAATTGGAGAGGCAATCAATCCAATTCCTTGGGCTTGTGATCACTTCTGAAGGCATCTCTATGGACCCCCAAAAGGTGTCTGCCGTCTTAGAACGGCCCATTCCAGGAGACAGGAAAGCAGTACAGTGCTTTATAGGGTTTGCAAATTTATATAGGAAATTTATCAAGGACTTCTCTGGAATCATTGCACCAGTGACACAGCTCACCAGGCAGCATATTCCCTTCAAGTGGACTCCTGAGGCCCAAACAGCCTTAGAGCAATTAAAAACCATGTTCACGTCCGCACCTATCCAGAAACCTCCAGACCCTGCTCTAGGCTTTGTCCTTGAAGTGGACGCTTCGGAGAATGCGGTAGGAGCCATTTTGTCACAAAGACAGGGACTCAAATTTCTCCTGCACCCTGTCACTTTCTTCTTCCGAAAATTAAGTGTTTCTGGAATAAATTATGATGTGGGAGACAGAGAATTACTAGCCATCACGGCAGCATTGGAAGAATGGGCACTACTTACTGGAGGGAGCAGCCCATCCTATTCTCATTTTTTACGGATCATAAAAACCTAGAGTACCTGAGAACGGCAAAACGCCTAAGGCCACGACAAGCAAGATGGGCACTATGTTTCTCGCGCTTCATCTTCCATCTGACTTACTGTCCTGGATCAACAAAATGGTAAACCCGACGCACTCTCCCATATGTTTCCCAACCCAATTGTGCAGTCTGAACCAGACACAATTTTGCCAGCAAAAAACGTCTTACTTCTCTAGACAGACCTTGTAACGTAAATAAGAGAAGTCGTGGATAATCGTCCACCTTCCATAAATATGCACCTGCAATTAAAAGGTGGTCTGTACTTCCACAAGGAACAAATCTTTGTGCCCGAAGAACTTCGGACTCTTGTTCTCCAGAGATGTCATGACCATCCCTTAGCAGGTCACTTTGGGATTCACAAGACTTCAGATTTGGTCTCTCGCTCCTTCTGGTGGCCAAACACAGTAAAGGATTGCCAGGACTATGTGAGATCTTGCACAATCTGCTAGAGGAGCAAGTCTGATAAAGCCAAGACTTGGGGCCTGTTGGAATCCTTGCCCATATCGGAAAAACCTTGGAGCATGATCTCCATGGACTTTATTGTTGAACTTCCCCCATCGGAGGGATTCACCACGATTTTAGTAGTAATTGATCGCCTGTCCAAGATGGCCCACTTCATTCCCTTGAAAGGGATTCCTTCTGCCACAGAAACTGCCTCCGCTTTCATCAAGGAGATCATAGGACTACATGGCATTCCCCTGAATATTGTGTCTGATCGAGGAGTGCAGTTCACATCTAATTTTGGAAAGCTCTGTGTGAGGCCTTAGAGATCGAGTTACGCTTTTCCTCTGCTTATCACCCGCAAACAAATGGACGAACGGAAAGGACAAACCAAACTCTGGAGTAATATCTCCGATGCTTCTCTTCATATTCAGAGGATGACTGGGCATCACTCCTTCCTTTAGCGGAATTTGCGTACAATAACTCCATCCATTCCGCCACCAAGCTATCTCCCTTTTACGCTAACTACGGATACCATCCCTCCTTTCTTCCAGAAATACCAGTGGAGGCTGCTGTTCCGGTGGTACAAGAGAGGATGGAATTCCTCAGGAGGAATGGTGAATTGTTACAGAAGACCATTTCTGAAGCTCAGGCGAGCAACAAGAAATTTTTTGACAGGAAGAGAAGGGGCAACTTGAAACTGAAACAAGGGGATAAAGTCTGGCTGTCCACGACTAATCTGAAATTAAGTTGTCCATCAAGGAAGCTTGGTCCAAGATACCTGGTACCATTTACCATCTAGAGAAGGGTTAACCCTGTGGCGTTTGAATTGGAACTACAGGCTAACATGAGGATTCACCCGGTATCCCATTGCTTTTTGTTAAAAACCACACATCCCAAATGGGTTTCCCAACCGGAATTCGGGGCGCCTGCTCCACTGCTGGTTGAGGGAAAATGAGGAATACGAGGTTGAGGCCATCTTGAATTGTAGGAAGAGGGGCGGACAGATCCAGTTCCTCATCAAATGGAAAGGTTATGGACTAGTGGATAATTCCTGGGAATCATCCACTAATGTCCATGCCCCACAGATAGTTCAAGCCTGCCTCCATCGTCACCCTGAAAAACGAGCCCTAGTGGGCATCCGGAGGCTGCCCCTAAGGGAAGGGGGAATGTAAGGGATTTCCGGCAAGAAGAACCGCGATCGGAAATGCGCGATCACGCACACGCATGGCGTGTACCTTGCTCTGCTGCATGTCTGGCAATCTACCAAACCTGCTCTGCCTGCTACTCCTGTGCCAAAATCAGAGGATCTTCAGTCTTCCAAGGTATTCATCTGCAAGAGCTGCACACAACAACTACTGGCACTTTTGTTCCCCTGGGTCCTAGACTCCCTCTGTTTCAACCTCAGCGGGGTCAGGGCTAGTGACACAAGTGAGGCCAACCTCGTCAATTCAGTCTCCCATCAGGTACGTGACACTAAGGGCTCGTTCACACTTGACACTTGTTCACACTTGTTTTACCAACTCTTGCCAAACGCCCCTATAGCGTTTGGCAAGCGTTGGTCCGGCGTTTGCGGAGCGTTTTTTAACACTCGGCAAACGCTGCATGCGCAGTTCAGCGGCAGTTGCTAGGTGTTTGCCGAGCATTAAAA